TTAGAAAGAGGTCACTGAGATTCTCCATTTTCACAAATGGAGCACTGCATTTCCGCAACTTGCTGGACTATCTACATCTTGCAGTATTGAAACATGTAGTAGGATTTAGTGAAAGAAGGTAGCTAACAGGCTTCCAAAGTATAGGAATTAACAAATAAAACATCTGTGGCATCCTGGTATGGTCTAGTAAATTGCTATCATGTCTCTCCTTGGTTTTCTGTATTTGTAGAAAGGGTTCAAGTAAACCTTCCTCAGAGGTACAGAATTTTTGATATATGTTATAAATAAGGGAAGTAGTGGGAGGGAGGTGGTTCTTTCTAAGCCAGATCTATTTAAATAAAATGTCTAGGTAGTGATTTTTCATTAAAGTGGAGAAATAGTATGCTATGATCAAGGAATACAGAGTCTTCCCAGGGACTCAATCTATAAGATAAGCATCTGTTATGATACAAATACAGAGTCTTGCTTTCAGTCATCCTGATCATATCTGAACCTGGTGTCTGTGTTCAGAATGCTTTTGATCTAAATGGTATCACTGAAAGTTCACTTGAATTAATGGTGTGGTGTTTTCAGAGATGTTAGATGTTCAAGATTTCTCTTGGGATTTTTGGGTCAAACTGGCAAACATCTGTCACTAAAGTGCTAGGATGTTAGTTCTTTTTATAGCGGTGGCAGTCTTTACAGTGCAGGGTTTTATTCCCTATATTGCTTAGATTTTCATTGCTGACAGGAAAGCAGAGCCATTGAATTTCAGTAGGTAGCTAGGAGTCAGATAATTCCTTGACAAGTAGTGATAGTAACAGAAGCCTCTGATTACGTGTCTTTAGATGTCTGAACACTGTTGCTGCCATTGTGCTTATGGAAGCTTAAAAGCAGATCCTACATGTAGCCCAAGTAACTTCTAATAGAATTCCACCTGTAAGACTCACTGGTAGGAGAAAGTAGACCACTTGCTATAAATAGTCCAGGATGTTGGTGTTGACAGCCTGTCTGCACAGCATCCTGAAATTTCTTTCAGAAAGAGGATTGCTTTTGATCACTTTGATCACTTTATCTGGTGAATCAGAACCAGATGTATTTTATAATGGTTCAAGCTTTATACTCAATACTTCAGTATCGTGAGGCGTTTCTGTGCTGGCTCCCTGTTGGAGGAAATACTCGGTTTCTTGACCCTGGAAAAATGTTCATGTCCCACTGTAATTATAGAGCCTTCTGCAAATGACAAGAACTGTCAAGCTGCGAAACTGTTCCTTGTATCTAGCTGGACTTAGTCTTGCCCTGGTCTGTCTTCAAACAGTTGGAAAATGGAAAATGGATAGATATACCTCTAGACTCAGTACTGGTATTACTGACAGCTCTTTGTATGAAACTTAAATCCTTTTACTTAAAACAGACTTCTGTCCTATTTGATCTTGACACTAGTTGTCACTTGACAGCATCAGTTCTGGTAATTTTGGGTTATTGGCTATAAAGCAATACAGTCACTGGAGTGACTGAACTCTGGTTAGAGTTAAGTAACAGTAATATCCATGCACCACCCTACTGCCCAGGCTGTAAGATTAAAATTTGTATTACGAGACTCTCTTACTTAAGTTACATGTTTACTCTGAGGGAACTTAGGAACAGGAGAGGTGAGGCTCAGTTTATCAAAGCAGTGAAGGCTGTCTGATATGGCATTTATCTGTGTGGATAGTAGAGTTGCATGAGATTCCAAGATGAGTATAAAGACCCAAATTCTTCCCAAATGTGAATATCATTCAGTGTAGGCTGCCCCAGCTTCAGGTCAAAAGCTGTAGGACAGGTAGTCAGTGGGTCAGTCCAACAGCTGACTTCCCATCAAAGCAAAACAGTTTACTGTATAGTAGCTGTTCTTTAGATCAACCATGGTAGCTATGATCAGTGAAGCTATATTTCTTGGGTAGTAGCTACCTAGTTCTAGAAGCTTACTGAGAAGGAAGAGGATGGGTTGAGATACAATGTTCTTGATCCTAAGAAGTAGTTGGTGTTCTAGGCATATGGATTTAAACCCTAGCATAGCAGGGTGGTGGCATTAGGTAGAGACTTTAGCTGGTAGTATTCAACACTTGTCTTGAAATATGTTGTAGGTATTTAAAGTGAATGCACCACTGCCTCCACGTAAAGACCAGGAAATTAAAGAGGATTCTTCATATTCAGCTGGATATAACCAGAGTTTCTCTACAGCAAGTACACAGACTCCTCCTCAATGCCAGTTGCAACCTTCTCATGTTGCAGAACAAACCTCTGTTTCACAAGAATCTCTGTCTTCAGGTGAGAACTGTACTTATCTCTGTTTCAAGTAGTCTTTGAAGTTCTTCAGGTTGTAGTAGTATTTTAATTCATTAACATGTGCTGTGAGTTATATTCAAGTTCTTCTAAATCAATGACATTAACTGCTTATGTAGCACCTGTTAACGTTAGGGTTATATCAACTCTAAATCTTGTTGATGGTACAGTATGTGAACTTAATTTCAAAACTGATAGCAGGATGAAAGTCTGCTTCAAACTAGTTTCTCTAGCTGTTGTATGGATGGCATCACCTACAGGCCTGAAAGATGGGTTTCCCAGTAGGTGAGAAATTAAATATGGAGTGATACTTGTCAGAGTCAAACAAGTGTTTGCTTGGAGTTGAAGCAGTGATTAAATACTTCATTTGGGAACCATTAATTTGTTTTCTAGTAATACACAGTAGGATTGTCTGCAGTGCTGGGAGTTGCAGAATGTGAAATAAGGAAGCTGGGATAAACTTTCAGTGCTGAGGTGAATTACCCCAAGTGATAAGTATTTTGTGCTACTGGTATAAGACTAAAATGTGTCATCTGAGAGCTGTTTAAGATTTATAATTTTCTTGCTTTAAGAATGGGCTGGTACCCTTCCTTTGAACTTACAGCTCACAATATAATTACTGTAAAACACATGGCTGATCTTGACTGTACTAGTACTTGCCAAAATCCTCACATGGATATTACACCTTACTATATTAGAGATAAGCATTCTAGATGTTACTGATAGCTGTCTGCTACTCCTACTTATCACTCCAGCTGCATCTAGTGATGTTGAAGTTCGAGCTTTTTGTAGCAGAGATCCCTGTTGTTCCTAATGAGGCCCTACACTTATGTCACTTGTTTGTTACCAAGGAATGCTCATTTCTGAACTAGGAGGCCTCAGTCACAAGTACTGTAATTCAGTGAGGTACTGAGAATCAGCTGAACTGCAGGAACTGTTCATGTGTGTGCTTTTAGCCTGAAGCAGGTGCAAGCTGATGACAGCCTACACTTCAGCAAAAGATAATCCTGTTTACTTCTGTTTATATAGTTCTGACTTTGAGTTGGTTGAATATGAGTGTCTGACCTAAAGAATACTAAACTTCTGATAAGTGGGGTCTTGAGCTGCCTTATTCAACACAAAACTGACTTGCCTGATATTCAGATACTGTACCAGCTGAATTTATAGCTGATGCTAAGAATTTGAAATGAGACTGGCCCCTAAATTTTCCTAAAACAATATGTTCCAGGATGAAAGGAAGCTGACAGTTAGGAATCTGGATTTATAAGACTATATCTAATCAAATGACTCAGGGTCACTTAAATTACTGTTCTGCCACAGGAATTATAGTAGAAATAGACTGCTGTGTGAAGTCAAGTGAGACACATGAAGATTAAGAGCTCCAAAGAGCAATATACATGTAGCAGTCAGGACATATTTAGTTTGAATGCTCTTTGTCATCACTGATACTACAGGTGATCAGCCTTCTATACACTTTTTGGTGGAACATCATGATTTTTTGATTATTCCTGTGCAGAGCCACTGCACAAACTTCAGAAAGGGGTTTAGATTGTTACCCTGGATCAATTTTAAGCTTTTTGGATTGTTATGAAGCACAGTCCTGTGGAAACACTTTCATGGTTGTAAGGTCTATATTTAAAGTTAACCACTCAACTACTCAGTGAAAAGTGTTCTTGAGTACTGCTATACCTGTTGCTTGAGGTTGAACTGCATAAGAACATGTGGTAGGAATGTCTGGAGAGACTGAACCCAAATGTCTACCTGCTCACAGTTGATACCTGATAAGACTGAGTTTGTCTCATTATTTTGAAGGATGTCAACACTGAGGTGACCTAGTTTATCAGATAGACCACTGAGGTCTTGCTAGTAGTGTTTGTTCTAAGTGAAAATTCTTAATCAGGTGTTACTTGATTTTTATTCTAGCTTGGTTATTTTCTTGATGTTTCTAGCAAGCTTGTTCTGACCTAAGCAACTGCATCTTGCTGAATGCATTAGAGGCTTACACTGACAGCCAGGGCTGTCTACAGTGTACTTTAACAAGCATTACTCTCTACAGAACAAAGTGGAGGATCCCCACTTATTTGAAGTAATGAAGGAGCAGAACAACAGGATATTCAGAGCAGCTTAGTCTCTGAATTTCCTAAAACTGCCCTTGCTTCTAGGTGTGGTGACTTATTACAGTTAAAGCTTTGAATTAATCTGTGCCTTCTGTTTTAAACAGTGAATTATCAAACTGATGGAGCTGTTCCTGTTAGCAATGGTAGCCTTGCCTTTTACCCAGCACAGACTAATGTTATTCCAAGACCCCCTCAGCCTTACCTTAACAGTCGTGGGTCTGTCAGAGGATCTGCTAGAGGTGGAAGGTCACTGGCTAACTCGTATCGTTCTCCTGGTGGGTACAAAGGTATGTATGTCTATTTACTACCACCTTAAAAAAAACCTCATGTAGTAACACTAGAACATGATTTAACACAAATAGTATTAATTTAGGGTTTATGTGTGAAATTTCTTAAAACAAGACTTTAAGAGCAATGTACAGAGATTGGGGTCTTCAGTTGTAGAATTCAAGCAAGTTCATTCTGACTTTTATTTCCAGTCCCTGTACTTTGGCTGTCAGGTGAACCAGGAGAGCTATTTCGTAGCCTTTTGAATTATGAAAGTAGAAACTTTCACTAACAGGTTATTAAATTACTTAATTGCATAAACTTTTCTGCTTGCTCTTTTATTTACCATTCTGAACTTTTTACCCCCTTTATTCTTTCTCTTAGCATTTGTCTTGCTAACATTCTAGACAAGTATTTTCTCCGCAGAAGTCATTTGCAGCATTTGCCCAAAACAAGATGTGCTTTGCTTTGCACTGTTGGCTTTAATAGTACCAGCAGAAACTGGGATGGGGGAGAGGTTCTCAGCAGTGGAGAGCCTTTTTGGATTAATAAGAAACTGAAGAGTTTTAAGAGGATGGTGGTTTGGTCTCTGCAGATGAGTTGCTATTCTGCTGCTACTAAAGTACTATAGAAAGTTTCAGCTGACTCTAAGCAGATACTACTTGGTAGCTGTGGCCTATTCCCCTCTGAAGTGGAAGGGCACTTGGTCTGTGATAGTCTTTTCAGTTACTGGGCTGAGACTGCTCAATACCTTTTAGGAACATGTACCAGATAATGAGCTGTATACTTCTGACTTAAGTGTCTCGTACTAAATTGTTACTTGGTAGTTACCAATTGTTAATTGGTAGTTAGTCTAACAGCTAAAGAGGCTAATTATTATAGTAGCACCTAAATGTATGACAGTAATAGCTAAGCATCTGTAACAGCAAAATAAAGTATTTCTTAATTCTATGTTAAATCCTGTCTCTAGATCTAGCAAGCTTTTCAGCTGTTCTGTGAAGCCCTGTTTTTAAGGTCTGATGGTAATACTTGTAAGCATGTAATTTTGATACATCCACAGTGGGTAGTTCTGAGTAGCTAATGAAATGGATTCTTTATAGGAGTAGTGAGACTCTTCTACAAATTATGAATTAAGGAATAGATGTCTAATTGCATAAGCTAATACACATAATTGCCAAAAAAGAGCTCCAGTTGTGTTCTGGACTTGCACTGTAAACCAAACAATGAATGACATTAAGCAGTCAACTTTATTTGAACAGGTTTTGATGCTTACAGAGGCTCATCTTCAATAACTAATGGCAACTATGGCCAACTGCAGTTCCCTGGTAGAGATTACGCCGGAATGCCATATTCTCAGAGGGTAAATATTGACTTTCAGTAGCCTTTTAAACACTGAACAGGAAGTAAGTTTTCTAATACTGTAGCTTTTATCTTAACAGGTGAACTATTCCTTATGAGCTCAAGTTCAGTTTTGTTTCCTAGACAAAACCCTTTTTTTGGAACAGTCAGCAGCAGTTGAAATAGGAAGTCAGTTCAAACAGATAACATCTCTGTATAACAGATTGAATTTTAGTCTGAAGGGAATCTGAAATGCAAACAGATGGCATATATGATGTGGTATAACGAGTCTGTTTTACTATGGATTTTAAAGGTGGTACCCAATACCTCTGTAGTATAAAATAATGAACTCCTAACTGCTTTTTGCCTAGTTAAGCAAAAAAAAATAAATCCAAAGAACAATGAGTAAGAAAGCAAAGGTGCCTTGTGGGAGGAGGGTCTTCAGCTTTGAAATGAAAGTCTTCTATACAGACTCATGGACCTTGTAACAGACCTGAGATTTAAGATATTGCTCAATGAACTGAGCCGAGTGTATACTTCAGAAGCTAACTTGCTATCACTGGCATTGAAATAGCTCTTTAATTTTATACAAGCTATTGTAAATTTTCCCTAAGCAAGGCTATCTATATCTTAAGTCTGAACTCCATTATTGTCTATTCTAGAGCTTGAATTCATTGTGCAAATGAAAATATATTGTATTTGTTAGCCCTACTTGTTTTCAGATTTGCTTATAGCCATCTTTCTAATATTCTGTTCTCTCATAGGATGTTAATTACCAGCAGTGCTATAAAAGAGGTGGGATAACTAGTGGTCCTCGAGCAAATTCAAGAGGTAAGGCTAACATCAGGTTCCCAGTGGCACGTATATGTGCTTGGGTGTAGCAGATGAAGTGGAGTGCTATTGTGAATAGTGAGAAAAACAGTGGACTATCACTGATCAAACAGATTAAGCTTGGTATAAATTAACCAAGCTAGATGGAAGCTTACGTACTGTTTAGACAATGTTAGACAGCATTGTATGGCAGCAGAATTAATTTTGCTATTCTCAATTTGATGTCTTCACACGTCAAAGTTCTGACACAATGGTACCTTACTGGACTTTCTTCACAAATCAACTGACTAGGAAAACACACAGGATGCTTCCAATGTTGGATTTGGCTTCTTCCCTTAATTGCATGGTCTCCTCTGATTCTAGGTAAACTATCAGATCCCAGAAACTTTGTAAAGTAACTTTTTTTCTATGAAAAATAGTTTGGGAATACAGCTTTACTCTGTAGTTCCATGCTGGAGTGTGAAACCTGAAGAAATATGTTAAGAACGAGGTATTTGAATCCAAGAATGAATAGCATGTATTTTGAAAAGTTATAAACAAAGGTTACAGGTGAAATGTGAGATGAATAGAATAGTAACTGAAGATAGCTACTTTGAAGAACCAAGGGAAATTATGGTATATCATGGAAACTCTTAGGATAAAGCAGGCGATCTCTCAGTCTGAGGGAGGACTCATAGAATATGTTTCAGAAGAAGAGAATTAAATACAATTGTGGTGAGTTAGTTGACAGAAGTACTCACTAGCATTAAGATAAACAAATTTATTTAGTTTTTTTGGGTATCTTAAGGTGTTCCTTTCCAGTGGAAATAACAATAGCTTGCAGCTTGAGTGTGACTGCTTAAATTTCTCAGATCTGATAATGTTTTCATTCTAGACCCTTTTAACTTAGGTGTTTGAAAAAATAAACAGCTTCATTTTGGGGAATAGGGTGCAGAAAGCTTAAAAAGCAATTCCAGTTCTTCAGACTTAAAGTATTCTAGCATCATAAGCTGATATGACCTACTAAGGATGCAACTCCAGAAGAACAGTACTGAGGTAGCTTGAAGTGCAAATTCAAATCTTGAAGGTGACTAAAGGACTACTTGGTATTTTTCTGAATTTTTCCTGAAATTACATTATCTCCACTCAGAAGTTAGCAAATGTGTGGTTTTTTTTTTTTCCTGATACATATATGTGGCAAATACTAAAGCTAAAACTATTGCAAGCTACTGCCCTCTCCTACCTAAAAGTATGAGGACTAATTGTTCATAGTTTAAATTATGGTCCGTCTTGCTGAATGCAAGTGTGGTGAACACAAACTAGCTTCAAAGTTCTGTTCTCACTGGGGTCCTTTGACAACTTGAGGTAGCTGAAAGACAAATTTGTTAAAAAGCCTGTACACTTGCTGCTTAAGATTATGCCTGCAGGTTTAAGGGTATCCTTCTGTTATAATACTTATTTATTATTACTAATGATCTTTAACAGCAGGGTGGAGTGATTCCTCTCAGGTGAGCAGTCCAGAACGAGACAATGAAACCTTCAACAGTGGGGACTCTGGGCAGGGAGATTCCCGCAGCATCACCCCTGTTGATATGCCAGTGACAAGCCAAGCTGCCACCATACTACCAGTGCACGTCTACCCCCTCCCGCAGCAGATGAGAGTTGCCTTCTCTGCCGCGAGAACATCTAACTTGGCCCCTGGAACTCTAGACCAGCCAATTGTGTTTGATCTGTTGCTGAACAACCTTGGAGAAACTTTTGATATCCAGCTTGGTAGGTTCAACTGTCCAGTGAATGGTACATATGTCTTCATCTTCCACATGCTGAAACTGGCTGTAAATGTTCCCCTGTATGTGAATCTCATGAAGAATGAAGAGGTCCTAGTGTCAGCATATGCAAATGATGGGGCTCCTGATCATGAAACAGCTAGTAATCATGCAGTCCTGCAGTTGTTCCAGGGGGATCAGATCTGGTTGCGTCTGCATCGGGGAGCCATCTATGGAAGTAGCTGGAAATACTCCACCTTTTCAGGATACCTCCTTTATCAGGACTAAAATCCAGTGCGATGTTTACAAAAGAGCTGCTCCATACACTGTGGTGGAGGGGGGTGGGACTAGCTTTGCACTTACTACTGACTTAATAGAAGATGTGGTTCCATTATTGGGGGAAATGATGGTCCTGTTGTGCAAGGTGAAATCATGGAGTTGGGGTACTGAATCAGCACTAATTTGGCACTTTATCAGTTGTGATGTAGCCTTGCTAGTAAAGCTGTGAATGTATATTGTTTGCACTTACCCTAAACTGTATTAATGTCCAGCTTACTACACTATTGATTGCCTCAAGTATGGGCTATTCACAATGCCTTGTTGTGCCTCAATAAAACAAGTTAATATGCATTTTAGTATTAATCTTGCCAGTGGTCTTTATTTTTAGAACATATCAAACTGAGCTTATTCCTGATGTGGGGTGTACATGCATATTATTATGTATAACTGGTCTTCAAGTTTCAATAATTCAGGGTAAACTGTATAATTTAAATGGGATTACTTGTTTGTTTAGTTCTTGCTTGGTGCCATTCTCAAGAGTGTTCCCTTGATCAGAATGATGCATACCTCCTTCCTTTTAACCAAAAGGTCAAGAAATTGGAGGTGAAATGCTATATACTTCATTAGGACTACTTATTTTAAATGCATACCCCATCAAAATCTAGCTTTGTCACATCACCTGTCCTTCAGTAGTGATACAGTTGTAATTCTTAAACCTTGAAACAGTTACTGAAGGGCTGGCTCATGCTGTTATTCAGCTGCAATATATTTTAAAGTTAAAATTGACCCTTGTGAAGCACAAAGGTGTATGGCTTCCCTCCCCCATGAGACTTGAATCAGATTGTAATGCAACTTATCTCCTCCTTTCAGAGAACTGCTGAGGAACTTGCTATTTGTATTTGAAGCCTGCTTCTTGCATTTTAAATCAAACTTGAATACAAATGCTAGGAAGCATCTATGAAATTCCTTTGTTACAGCTAAGAGGCTGTATGAGCAGTCTTCAGTCTCTTATGGCCTGAGAACTGAAAAGCCATGATGCATGTCCATGTTTAAGCTGTAGCATGTCAAATGCTATAAAGCATTTCAATGTTTAAAATGGAAGTATGAACTAGGAAGAAGACTATAGGTCACTGACTCTTTCTACTTTTAAAAGCTTCAGCAGTTTGTTTTAGCAGTAGGAAGTACTTTATCTGAGGGGGTACTAAGGTAGCTAGCGCAAAAGGCTGACTGGTGTATGTAAGGATGAACTAGAACAAGGTAAAGCTGCTGATTCTTGGTAACTGGTTTTGCAACTTCCCATTTGAAAACAGTTCTCCCCTGCTATGATGCAGATGCCAAAACAAGTTGACTGGCATGACTTCATAAAGTTACTGGCATAAGGATCTCGGGTTTATTCCAAGCTTAGATTTCTTTTTCATGTAGATTTTTGTTTAGAGGCTGATCATACTTCAAGTCTTAGAACTTGCCAAAAGAATTAAACTGAGATGAGAAGTTGAGGCAGTATAAATTTTTAGGGTAGTTAGTTTTTACCACTACAGACAAAATGTCAAGCCTTAACTATTGAATACTAAGCCTGTATTTTGTACTTTTAAACATGCTAATTCTGACTTTAGCCAGTAAAGAGGCTTATTTCTAGAACATTCTTAACAGAGGATAAGTGGCAGGAGTTTTACCAGCAATTTTTTCTTAGACTGTTAACTCTCCTTGTACTCTAATATGGGGAATATGGTAGATAGGCCTAAGTGCTAGGAGAGTTTTCAGCTTGCAATAGCTTTGCAGCTGTAGACAAGCAGATTTTGTTACTTTTCTAACAGACTGCTCTAGATTTTTTTAGACATGTAGATCACTGACCCAGTCACCCCTTTCCCAGGCTGTCTGTATAGGGACTAGTAAATAAATGATTCCTATTGTGTGTATAGCAGGGTATCCCTTGGACTTCAGACTGTCTTAATGCAGGCTTCATTTAGCATGCTGCTTATCCTACATGGTTTTATTATATGTATTTATATGATGGATTTTGGATGTTTTAAGAACAAGTTACCAGTGCTTCTAAGCATTGATTAAAAAATTCAGCCTTTGGCAACCTCAGATGTGATTGCTGTGAATACATGAAGTGCATGTTGCTTTCTAATGCTCCAGTTCAATTGAGTCTGGACAGCTGCTTGGTAGACCTATGTTATTATTTGTTTGAGACTAATCTTATTTTCTTACTGGCAGATCTAGCAAAGTGTCTCTAGCTTGTAAATACAAGGTAACACTGGTATAGCCTTCATATAAATCCTGTCTGCCTTTTTTCTTCAGTAGTTGTTAAATGAAGTTGCTTGATTTATTGCACTAGTTAATATACCTTAGCTATATAAGGATGATAATCAGGTCTAATTAAAACAAGAGGCATCATAGTTTTGCTAACTTCCTACTGATGTCTTTACTATTCAAACTGGTTACCACCGAACTTCTCTCCAGTTTAGATATCTTGTGCAGCCTGCTGAAGATAAACTCTGAAGGTAAGGATCTAACACTAGCACAGGTTTTGATTTGTAGTGAGCAAATTTCCATGTTTTCTTCTGAGTTCAGTGAAATACTGGAACTGCCCTGAAATGGGAATGTGTACTGGCTTTGGCTGGGATAGAGTTAATTTGCATCAGAGTAGCTGGTGTGGTGCTGTTTTGGATTTGTGACCAAAACACTGTTGATAACAACAGGGATGCTTTAGTTATGGCTGAGCAGTTCTTAGGCAGTGTCAAGGCCTTTTCTGTTTCTCATGCTGCCCTGCCAGTGAGTGGGCTAGGGGTGCACAAGAAGCTGGGAGGGGACACAGCTGGGACAGCTGATCCCAAGGGACCAAAGGGATTCCCCAGACCATATGATGCTGTGATCAGCAATACAAGCTGGGGGAAGGGGGGGGATGTTCAAATTATGGCATCTGACATCCCAAGTAACTGTTACAGGTGTTGGAGCCCTGCTTTCCTGGAGATGGCTGAACATCTGCCTGCCCAGGGGAAGTAGTGAATTAATTCCTTGGTTTACTTTGTGCACAGGCTTTTGCTTTACCTGTTAAACTGTCCTTATCTCAACCCACAAGTTTTCTTACTTTTGCCCTTCTGATTCTCTTCCCGTCCCACAGGGAGGGACTGACCGAGTGGCTGGATGGTGCTGAGCTACTAACCCATGGGGTTCAACCATGACAAAGGGTTTCTCAAAGTTTTCAGAATACTAATGGACTTGTGACTTCTCTGGTTTTTCCAGGTTATGAGACCATGAATGATTTACCAGAATTGTCATGGCTGACTTCCTGCAGCTAAGGAAACCTCCATCCTGCAGGCTACAGTGGTGGTGCAGAGAATGTCACTGTGCTCTTGTACTGGTTCAGTTTACATACTTTTTCCTCCCTGACTGATACAAGTTATCTACAGCTGCTCCAACAAAACAGTCAGTGACAGAGACAGCTTTGGGATTTTAACTCTGATCAGTCTTGTATCTGGAGGCCTGGCATACATTTATCTGCTGCAGATCATCCTTGCTAGCTCTTTATCACATCTATATGCGTCTTTTGAGAAAATTCAGATTGAGAGTGTTGTGGAGGATAGAAAGGTCTGTTGGGTATGCTAATAGGAGAGGTACTGTACCATAACCAGATAAAAATGAGTAACTCTAGTTATGCACTTGTTCACAAATCTCTGATCAACTTAATTTTGTGTCTTGTTTCCCCACTATAAACAATTCTATTAAGAATGAAAAAGCTTATAAATTTGTATCTGCTGACTGAGCATTTCCAGGTGGTGTTGTACTTCATAAAAAAATTATTGTGAAGTACTAATTTGGCTGGAGAGTACTAGTTCATACAGGTTTTGAACTGTTTAGGTCTTAGATGAGTAAGGGCTGCAGTTGTTACAGAATTAAGGCTTTATGGTAAGGACAGATCCAATCACTTTGTCATTAGTTTACTACAATAAAACAAACCCTATATTGAAAACAGTGGATTAATTTTAGCTTATAGCACATCAAACAGAGGCTCATTGTCTTCTTTCTCCTACTTTTCCATGAGTATCTCATATTAACTACACCTTACAACCAACTGCTGTCCTAAAGGAGCTTTGTTGGCATGATAACAGAGCAGTTGTTCTGTGCCAGCAGAAAGTATGTTACACATACTGTTCAGCTAAAACACTACCTGGATTTTAAAACAACCAGAAGTCAAAGGACTAATTCAAAGTAACCTGAATATGTAAGGCTTTTCTAGTTTTTCTCTACCTCCTGAAGTTCTTGAACTTAAGCAAGTTACCTTGATTGCAGCTCTGTCAGGAACTTGGTCTGATTTTTGTTGAGGTCAAACTTATGTTGCTTTAAAAATCCTTGGTTTCAGCAACTGAGTTTCAAAATATGATTGCTTGTTCGAAATACTTCATAGAACTTTTGTTTTAGTGCACCTGGAGAGTTTTGGAGCTTTAAAGAAAAAAAAAAATTGCTTTCCCATATCTCCCCACCTCCCTTTTATTCTCATCCTTTTTTTCTGTACTTGCATGCTGGGGCAACTTGGATTTCGTTTACTTGTTTTTAGTTTCTTTGTGTATCACTTGTCCCTTTCACATTGGGTCTTCTCTCATCAGCAGTGTTACACATCTGACAAGAAAATATCAGAATTTTACCTCAGATTCTTTATTTTGCAGAATAGCAAAACAGATTTTTAAAAAACTCCCAACATTCTAATTCAGTTCCAGATCCATTATTTTGAAGTAGATTAAGCTAAAAATATATACAGAATCTCTGCTCTAACAAAAAGGCATACGAGTTCTTGCTTGTAAGTAGTTACTTTTATCCTGAAGTTTTTGAAGTTAAATAAAAACATTTCAATTAATGACTGAACTTATTTTTAGAATAACACAGCAGCTAGTAGCTATGGAGGTTCATGTGTTACAGAAAGAAGTATCGGGCATATTTCAAACCCAGTGCATAGGTAGACTTGTAACAATACTTCCACAACTCAGTCACTGCTGATGTATTACAAAGGAAGTAAGCATTGTTGAACTGGATGTTACTTGATTTAGAGATTTGCTGGCATTGCCTCATTGTTGGCTGTGTGCACAAAAATCAGCTCATAAAAGCAAAACCTTAGGTGTAAAATATTTTCCACTTTTTTTTTGTAGTGAATGTTGTGTGTTAAAAGTGCCATTTTAAATACAATGGGTAAGTGCAATAAAATTATGAAAAATATTTTAGGAAGATGTTAAAATAGCCTTTAAGAATATTTTGTTTTGTTGATATGTTTTACATCACCAGCTCCACAAGACTAAAGTCCTTCAATGGATACATTTCATAACTTTTAAGCTCTCCTACCAGGGATGAATACACAGAAACAG